CTAAGCCACCAAGTTCCACCATAAAAAGAATAGTAAGACATCACGGTAACTGTAGGTAGCCTGCTAGAGTTTAGCAATGTGGATAGTGTCACCAGAATCTCCACTTCTCTCTCTACTCTGATATCGTATCGTCGAGACAGAGCTCCAGTATTAAGATCGTTGAGCTAGGCAGATCCGGACAGGGAAGTGTGACAGGTGCCCCGGCCTAGTGGTGTTAAAAGAAGGAGTCGACCGATGGCCAGGCCGATTCAGTGCTCGAACTGCGGGAAGAGAGGTCACCTGAGCAAGAATTGCTGGAGCAAGGTTAGGAACAAGCCACTCGCAGGTGCACTTGCGGGAAAGATTGGGATCAAAAGGAGGAGTCGACCGATGGCCAGGTCGATCCAATGCTCGAACTGCGGGAAGAGAGGTCACCTAAGCAAGAATTGCTGGAGCAAGCTTAGGAACAAGAAGAAGGAAGGCCTGAGAAGGCCTAGAGGTCACCTGAGCAAGAAATTGCTAGGCCTGAGAAGAAGAAATTGCTGGAGCAAGCAAGCTTAGGAACAAGAAGGAAGGCCTAAGAAGGTCCTGAGCTAGAAATTCCTGGAGCAAGCTTAGGAACAAGGAGAAGGAAGGCCTGAGAAGGCCTAGAGGTCACCTGAGCAAGAAATTGCTGGAGTAAGCTTAGGAACAAGGAGAAGAAAGGCCTGAGAAGGCCTAGAGGTCACCTGAACAAGAAATTGCTGGAACAAGGAGAAGGCGCTGGAGCAAGCTTAGGAACAAGGAGAAGGCCTAGAGGTCACCTGAGCAAGAATTGCTGGAGCAAGCTTAGGAACAAGGAGAAGGCCTAGAAGGCCCATGTGGCTCAATCCGAGGAGTATGAGCTAGCTCTCTTCATGGTAAGTGCATACGTCCCCAATTTCGATTCCAAGTCCACGGAGGTAGAGGTAATCGATGACGACGTTGAACCCGAGGAAGAGCTTCAGCTGGGTGTAGCAAAGGCGGCACCAGTTGGGGAGCCAATTCAACTAAATGAAGAGTGCGAGTGTTCGCTCAGATCGGCGAGAGGGACGAGTAGCACGAGCACCGACGATGTATCCTCGACACAGGGGCAACAAACCATATGATCGGGGCTAGATTTGTGTTCTCCGAGCTCGACTCGGGGATTCGTGGGATGGTAAAATTCGGCGACGGCTCCGTCGTCGAGATCCAAAGGGCATGGCACCATCCTGTTCGTCAGCATGGGAGGCGAGCACCGCAAGCTGACCGACGACTACTTCATCCGGAGGCTTAGGACTAACCTTGTAAGCCTGGGTTAACTCGATGAGGCAGGTTGCTTCATTTCCATCGAGCACGGGCTACTCAAAATCTGCGATGATCGACGATGGCTGCTCACGCAGGTTCGGTGCACGACAAACCGTCTTTACATCCTGAAGTTAGAGATTGGCACGCAAGGTACGGGCACTTAAACTTTCCTGCTCTAGAAAAGCTACAGAAGGAGGAGATGGTGCACGGTTTGCCGACAATCAAAGGCGTAAACAAGCTGTGCGATAGGTGCTCATCGACAAACAGAGCTGCACACCCTTTCCGTCTCAGACATCCTACCGCATCAATGAGCCGTTGGAGCTTGTACACGGCGATATCTGCGGGCCCATCAAGCTGGCGACCGCAGGCGGTAAGAGTCTCTTCCTCCTGTTAGTCGATGACAAAAGTGAGGCGGCAGAGGCGGCAGAGGCGGTTAAGCGCATTAAAGCGCGAACGGAGGCCGAATGTGAAAAGAAGATGCGAGTGCCGTGCACAGACCGAGACGAAGAATTCACCTCGGCAAGTTTCGATAAGTACTGCGATGAGTTCGGCATACAACGACACCTAACGACGCCCTACACCCCCCAATAGAATGGAGTGGTGGAGCGCCAAAATCAGACCATCATCGGGACAGCAAGGTCATTGTTGGTGACGGTCGGGATGCCTGGAAGATTCTGGGGAGAGGCGGTAATGACGGCCATCTATCTCCTCAATCGGTCACCAACTCGAAGCCTCGACGGAAAGACGCCATATGAGGCCTAGTACAACAAAAAGCCAACTGTACATCATCTCCGTGTGTTCGGTTGCGTCGCATACATGAAGGTAACGTGTCCCCACCTCGCCAAGCTCGATCCCAGGGGGCTAAAGGTCGTCTTCATCAGCTATGAACCTGGGAGCAAGGCGTACAAACTCTATGATCCTGTAGGGGGGCGAGCTCACGTATCTCGCGACGTCATCTTCGACGAAGACACCTTCTGGCAGTGGAACGACGTGATCGAGGCAGACCACAACCCAAATCAATTCACGGTGGAGTACCTCGTCACCGAGCAGGAAGAAGGAGGAGCCCAGCATTAGGAACCGTCACCGCCGCTAGTAGGTGCACCCCCTAAACCAGTGGAGTTCGCAACACCACGGACTGCAGATTCGACGTTGGATGCCGATCACGATGATGATCTGGTGGCCAGGTACCGGAGGATGGACGACCTAGTGGGAGGAGGTGAACTACCTGGACTTGCAACGTGCGAGCTCGAAGAAGTGGCTGAACTGCATGCAATCAGTGCAGATGAACCGAACACCTTGGCCGAAGCAGAAAGGAACCCGTGCTGGCTGAAGGCAATGTAGGAGGAGATGACATCCATCACCGAGAACCAGACGTGGAGTTTAGAGGATATGCCACCGTGACACCGAACCATAGGGCTCAAATGGGTCTTCAAATTGAAGCGCAATGAAAAAGGAGAAGTTGTGAAGCACAGGGCCCGTCTGGTGGTGAAGGGCTACGTCCAGAAGCAAGGAGTGGACTTCAAGAGGTATTTGCGCCGGTGGCAAGGTTAGAATTCGTCCGTCTTTTGCTAGCAATTGCGGCACATTGCTCTTGGGAGGTTCACCATATGGACGTGAAGTCTGCTTTCCTTAACGGAGAGCTGAAGGAGACCGTCTACGTCCGACAACCACCTGGCTTCCTGAATAACAACAACTCTGGTAAGGTACTGCGCCTACACAAGGCACTTTACGGGCTTTGACAAGCCCCACGAGCCTGGAACGCGAAGCTCGACAGTACCCTACTGTCACTGAAATTCAAGCGTTGTGCCTCTGAGCATGGCATGTACACGCACGGTCATGGCAAGCAGCGATAGATCGTGGGAGTGTACGTCAACGACCTCATAATCACTAGAGGCGACATGGAAGTCCTCGGAAGGTTCAAGAAGGAGATGTCAAAGAACTTCAAGATGAGCGATCTCGGCGTTCTCAGCTACTACCTCGGCATCGAAGTGCAACAGAATTCTACTGGCATCTTCATCTGCCAAAGTGCATACGCGAAGAAGCTGCTAGACACAACTGGGCTTGCAGACAGTAATCCTACAAGGACGCCAATGGAGGCCCGGCTCCAACTAAGGAAGGCCGGCACTACGACAACAGTCGACTCCACCAATTACCGCAGCATTGTTGGGAGTCTGCACTATCTGGTAAACACTCGTCCTAATCTTGCTTATTCTGTTGGATATGTGAGTAGGTTTATGGAAGCACCTAGGGAGGAGCATCTAGTGGCTGTCAAGCGCATCCTGCGCTATGTAGCCGGAACTAGAGTTGGTCGGCTTTAGTGAGAGGAAAGGAGAAACTCAAGTTGGTCGGCTTTAGTGATAGTGACATGGCCGGTGACGTTGATGATCATAAGAGCATCAACAAAATGACCTTCTTCCTCTCAGGCGGCGCGATCTGCTGGCAATCAACAAAACAGAAGGTAGTTGTTTTGTCTTCCTGCGAAGTAGAATACATCGGCGCTTCAATGGCAGCAACACAGGGGGTCTAGCTTGAGCGATTAATGGAAGAACTCATCGGGAGAGAAAGCAATCCACCAATGCTATATGTGGACAACAAAGCTACGATCTCCCTGATAAAAAATCCAGTTTTGCATGACCGGAGCAAGCACATAGAAATCAGATTCTACTACATTCGAGAATGTGCAGATCAAGGGCTCATCAAGATTGATTTCATCCGAACAGAAGAACAACTTGGAGACATTTTCACCAAGTCCCTGGCGCGGGTAAAATTTGAAGAACTACGCTAAAAAATCGGAGTTCAAATAATAAGGTAGATATAGCACAGCTTTTAGGAGGAGATTATTAAATAAGAGCTATGGTCTTTAAATTTAGTTAAGTTGTTTTGACCTTTTAAATTTCTGAATTCACGCTAATGGAAGAGCGTAAATTTGGCCGGTCATTTTTGTTTTACTTTGGGCGAAGTTTTAGCCCACTCTTTCTATTTTTTTAATTAGGTTTGTTATTTAAAGAATTCAACTGAATGAGAAATAGACATCGAGTCTTCAGCAAATTCTCTCCCTCTCTCTTTTTACTTTTCGCTATTATTTCTTTGAAGGAACTTTCTTCGGCCGTTTGTTTTTCGTCGACGTTTTGCCAAAAGTCAACAAAGTAGCCCCCATGAGAGTAGTGTTGAGATTTGGGAAGAAGGGCGAGCTTAGGTTCGTGGGTCCCTTTGAAATCCTAAAAAGGTTAGGGCCCGTAGCATACAAACTAGCATTACCACCCACACTTGCCACAGTGCACAACGTATTCCATGTATCGATGTTGAGAAAGTACACTCCGGATCCCACTCACATCATTGATCACGAGACGCTGCCCCTCCGGGAGGATCTATCGTATGAAGAGAAACCCATAACGATAATGGCACGTGATGTGAGGAAACTATAAAAAAGGGACATTTCCTTAGTCAAGGTTTTATGGAAAAAACCATCAGGACAACGAAGCCATCTGGGAATGTGAGGATGACATGAGGAGGTCTTACCTCGAACTCTTTCGGGGAGGATAATCTTTCAGGGACGATAGTTTCTAAGGTGGGGAGAATTGTAGCACCGTAATTTTTATTTAAAAGAAAAAAAGAAAAAAAAAATGCCCAAGGTCAACATCTATTTTGCCCTACTATTACTTGAGGGGCTGATTTGATTGGGCTCATAATCTGAAAAAGAAAGGAGAGGAGAGAGGAAAAGAGAGAAAGGAGATTAGGGTTTTAAGAATGGAGGAGAAGGTCGGATCAAAAACTGATGCCGGAGATCTGAGAATCCTTGAGCTAGACCTTCAGCAATCCAAGGCAAGGTGTGTTCACGAATCGCACCTTCCTATTTCGTCAAAAATGTCCAAGAACTCAAGGTTAGTCCGTGGATGTCTAGATCGAAATGTTTATCGAGATTTTCGTGTGCTAGTGGCATTTTTTAGTGATTCTTGGACTTTTACCCTCAGGACTGTGATCTTCGCAAGTTTTAGAGTGAAGGCGGTCGAGACTTCCGTTCAAATCAGAGTTTCAACAAAACGAGATTTTTGGTATAAACTCGTGTTTTTCTCCAAATTCAAACTTGAATATTAAGACTGGTGATTATCAAAAAAAAAAAAAAATATAAGAAAATCATATCGAGGGAGAAGAATATGAGATTTACAATGTTTATGAAGAAAACTTGTTGATTCGGATTACGGATTGAAAGATAAAAAAAAATCCAAAGAAAATAGATCGAAAATGCGAATACACTTAACGATCTGAAAATTGAAACATACGCAGGAGAGAGAAAGGACGCCGCCACGCGTCGGATGGCATAAGGAGGAGCACGGTAGAATCGACGTTAGACACAGGTCGCATTCCGGCTGGTGAGGCGTGCTCCACAAGTGAGCTGACATGCGACAAAGCGCGAGATTCAGGCCAACCCGAGTCTGAAGTGGGCGACTCGAACCGCATCTGGAGAACTGCCCCGATACAATTGGATTGACCCGACTTTCTGGTCCGCGACTGAGTAGGCATTGCGCGAGTAGATACGCGCGCGTGGAACTGCCCGTAGTAAGCCTTCAGAGTGCGTCAGTTGCGCGTGTAGGCCCGTGAGTAGTTGTTTTTCCTCCGTTACGCCTCTGTTTGTTTGTTTTTCGTCCCAATTTCGATACTGACCCTATTGTTATATGAATTAGAACTTGTGAAGGAAATTCCAGAATTATTGGAATCCTTTCAGCCAAGAAACTCGAGCTAGGGAAGACATGCGTCAACCAAGTAAGTAGCCATTTGGATTCCCACGAGCAGTACTTGTAGGAACCGCTCGGAATAAGCATGCATGGTATCATACTCATAAATTTAGCTATTCGAACCTAGCATATTAGTATGGAAACCGTGAAAATGAAATAAACAAGAAAATCTATGGCTTCTAAATATGAATGATTATGTAATTTGTTTAGATTGAGATTCTGATAATGTATGTATGCATGAGGAGGATGGAAAACTGTGAAATCTGCGCTTCGGGTGAAGATGGACGTTATATTCCCGTTGAGCATGTTTGTTAATATTGCATGAACTACTGCGTGTTAACTCTTGTGCATGATTGTTTGTGTTATCTTTCTTGTTGAATAGGAAGAAACTACGAGCTTAGATTACGGTACTTGTGACTAAGTAGGCTAGACGAGACCCTAGGTTGGGAGACCTCTAGAGTACCGTGCATTTTAAACCTGCGAAACGACTACCGGCGAATCCAGAGCCTAGAATTCCAAACTTGAGCTTTGAGACCTTGCACGAAAATCCTTGAGACGTTTGAATCCAAGTCTAAGCCACCAAGTTCCACCCTAAAAAGAATAGTAGAACACCACGGTAATTGTAGGTAGCCCGCTAGAGGTGAGCAGTATGGATAGTGTCACCAAAACCTCCACTTCTCTCTCTACTCGGGTATCGTACCGTTGAGACAGAGCTCGGCATTAAGATCGTTGAGCCAGGCAAATCCAGACAGGGAAGTGTGACAGGTGCCCCGACCTAGTGGTGATAGCTATGGGGTCTTCTGAACAGGACCCTTGGGCTGTAGGAACCCATCCCTGAGCGGGGGACGTGGAGCCACGTAGGATGACTTAGTAGCTGACCAGCACACAAGGGGTTGCAACCCCAGATTTTAGTGGATGTATGGTCTTGTGGGAGGGTTGTCAGCTAACCTCCACGGATGATGTTCAGACAGAGTTACTTATTCATATCCAGCTATACGATCCCCTCAGATTTGCTTGTGAGGTCGCGCCTCACCTCAGGACACTAAGCATTTCACTGCATAAGATGGGCAAGTCTCTTAAGATACAAAAAAGAGAGTTGCAGCTTAGATCGTTTCCCTTAGAACCCCAAGATAAGACCGTGGATACCTACTAAGATAAGATGCGAGAATAGCTTACAAGTAGGTTGTTGAGTATTTTTATACTCATTCCTTTCTATTTTTTCAGGTGAGTGATGCCATGGTTCGAGGCGGGAACACGTGCTGAATCTTAAAGCCACAGAGGAGTGTCCCAGGGCGTCTAGGAGTCTACACATGTTCTTGTTTTAGATTTGTCATGCATTTTTGTAAACCATTTAAATACTTTTCATGAAACTGATACGCTACTTGATGAGTTTGTTTTGATTTTAAACTTTCCACGAATTGCTATTTTTTTTTTTTTTTTTTTTTTTTT